TGATAGAAGACGAGACAAGGTAAGGGGAAGAGTCTTGGAGGTCATTGGAACTTGTAATGCCCGGGGAGTAGGCAAGGAAGCCCAAGAGAGAGGTGTTCTCCAAGTGTTAGCAGAAGAGCCTGGAGAATTCAATGTCCAAAGATAAAGTAGACAATAAGGCCAAATATTTTGTGGAGAGGTTATAGGAGAATGGGGATGCCGGTGGATATAGTCATGACTGAAAATGTTGGTGGGAACTGCTTCAGTAAAGTGGTAGGTGAGAAAGAAAGACAGATCACCCATGTTGATTAATTGCAGAGGAATTGGATATAATGACTGTGAAGTCTTTTATGAAGTTTGGAGGTAAAAGGAAGAAGAAAGTAAGTCTGATAAGAAATCTTTTTTTGTCAAAGATTAGTGTTGATCTGAAAATGTTGGTAATATTTGGAAGCGGAGCCAACAGAGATTAATGTTCAATGAGAAGGACAAAGAATAGAGCAAGTTCCTGGAGGAGATGGGCCAGAAAACAGGAATGGCCAATCAAGGATGGGTGCAGATGTGGAGCAGGGGCAGTGGGGAGATGAGTTAAGGGTGCTTGTGCAGATGACCTAAAATCATCGATGAGGAAGGGTGGGCACCCTGAGGTTGAGGATGGGCTCCAGTAGGGTTTTAGGTGCAAGATGATGGGAAACAGTAGGAGCTTCCATTGTGCACTTACCTCCCCTTTGGAAATAGTTGCCTTCTCATTTGCTGAAAAGACACGAGTCTCTACTGTGACTGAAGTATGAATGTGAGGGTTGTTTATAGGATTAGTTCTCAATTCTGACTGCATATTAAAATAACCTGGGCTAGGGGCGCCTGGGTGGCTTGGTCGGTTAAGCGTCCGACTTCGGCTCGGGTCATGATCTCACGGTCCGTGAGTTCAAGCCCCGCGTCGGGCTCTGTGCTGACAGCTCAGAGCCTGGAGCCTGTTTCCGATTCTGTGTCTCCCTCTCTCTCTGCCCCTCCCCTGTTCATGCTCTGTCTCTCTCTGTCTCAAAAATAAACGTTAAAAAAAAAAAAAAATTAAAAATAAATAAATAAATAAATAAAATAACCTGGGCTAGGTTTTTTAAGGGGTTGTCAGGTATCGGGAAGTTCCCTGATGAAACTGATTTTCAGTTTTGAACACCATTGGTCCACGGAAACATAACAACACATGGACATAGTTGTTGTGTGTGAATATGGTATTCAGCTAGGATGTTTCCAAATTATTAGGCATATACAACGTGTAGGGTATTCTGTTAGCCACTGAAAAGCAAAAAACAAAAAACAAAACAAAAAAACAACAACTTTGAAGGGATCTATCAAAAGCCAAAAGATTATCCAAAAAGCAAGCAAGATTTAAAGGAATAGTTATGTTGATCTACCCACTCACTCATCCATATATCGATGCAGGTCCTCTAAGTGCCTACTGCACGTTAAACACCACACTACTGCCGAAAATAGAGAAACAAAATAGCCTTTCCCTCTCGTAGCCTAGATTAAGCTGGAGAGAGGATTATAATTTCATGTTGCAAACGCAGAAATGGAGGTGGGCAGCGGGTGCTCTGTGAATACAGTCAAGGGACAGCTCACCCAGATAAGAGAGGTGGGAGAAAAGGTTGGGGAGTGTCTAGAACAGGGGAAGTTGGGGTGGATGTAGTAACATTCACCAAGCTAGGTGATGGCTCTAGATCAAGGCAGAGCTTAGGTCTCAGGACTGACTTTGCTACAGGCAGTTCCTGGTAGCCTAAGAAATATGATTAAAGTGTGAAAAGCCGAAGCAACTTAATACAGTTACACTGTAGAGGTGATGTTAGGGAATGTAGCAGTAATGAGTAATACTAAGTTTTTGCTTATCTACTGTATCATTTGGGATCCAGGCAGAAAACAAGTGGCGCACTCAAACTTACTAATGGAAGTAAGTTTAATAGATGGATGTCTTATAAAGGATTAAGCAGGATGTAGGAAAATAACAAAGAAAAGCCCAGGGCCCTGGAAATGAGCTGTTCTTCCTCACGATATTTTGATACCAGATGCGTGGGGCTTTTTTCTCACATCAACCAATTCTCCAAAGTTTCAGAGACCAACTGGATGCCCTGCAATTCAATTCAATTGTGACACTACGCAGAATTAGCACAAGGCTGCACAGGCTTAAGGGCTCAGTGTCACAAGACTGCCCTCGCTTCAGATGCCAGTTGCAAGTAGTGGGTCCTCGGGTTAACCTCACTTCTGTGTGCCTTGGCTGCAAAGCAGGGGGAGGGAGGTGTTCTTACTATCCCCCTTCCCTTTCAGACTTAACAATTTTCTAGACTACTTCACTAACCTCTGGAAAACACTGTGTTTACTGTTACTGGTTTATTATAAAGGATACCATTGAATAGACCAAGAAGTGCATACAACAAGAGACAGAAGGGTCCTGACACAGGTGTTTCGGTCCCACCACCCTCCCAATACTCTGATATGTCCTTCAGCTCTGAAGTTTTCTGAACCTTGTTGTTAGTCATTTAGGAGTTTTTATAAGGGTTTCATCATGCAGGCACGATTGATGAAATCGTTGGCCACTGGTGATTAACTCAACATCCTCCCCTTCTCCCCTTCCTGGAGATTGGGTGGTGGGGCTGAAAGTTCCAACCCTCTAATCATGCCTTGGTCTTTCTGGTGACCAGTCACATCCTGAAGCTATCTAGGGTCCTCTAGCCACCAGTCCTGTCATTAGCATACAATAGACCCTTAATACTCTAGAGAGTCCATGGACTTTAGGAGCCATGTGCCAGGAACCGGGGACAAAGACTAAATATTTATTTTTTATTATATCATACCCTTTGTCATAACAGAGAGGCTGTTATCATTCCTGGGCCAAGGGAAGCAAGGGAGGGGTTGACTGTCAGAAAGCGGGGACAGAGAGAGCTCTGTAGAGTATAAAAACTACTCATTAGGAACAGTGACATTTGTTTGAGGGGTGCAGTGGCCCACAGTGACGCCAGAAGGAGAGGGCTAAGGAAATAAGCAACTGGACCTCACTCTCCTCCTTTCCTCCAATTGCCAACTAGTGTTCACCATTCAAAAGTGAGCCAGTTGAAATCATCCCTAGAGATCAACACAGAGCACAGACATAGAGCAGGTTCAAGAAATAAAGAGAGTAGGTCTAGAGGGGCAAATGGAAAGTGTCCAATCCGCTCTCTGGTGTAGTTAGATCTGTTTCATAACTCATTTGTTTTTTTTTTTTTCAGCAAGTATGTATTGCTGGCTTCCATACCTAATGCCCTTTAGGAGCTAGCGATGCAGTGGGAGACTCGATGAAAACTCTGCCCTGAAGGAGTGTATATTCTAGTGAGGGAAGACAGAATAAACATGTTACAAATGATAGAAATGGTAGTGATATGTATAAAGAAGAAAAATATGGAAAAGGAATCGAGAATGTGAGGCTACTGTTTTGGATAGGAAGTTACCTTTGAGAAAACACCCCAAAAAGGGGAGAGTAAGTCAGGCATAGAACCAGTAAGACCACATTTGATGTTTTGATACAATTGGCTGGCAATAGCTTCCCGTAACCCATCCCTCAATTGGTATATCATGTCGTGTATCTCTACCAAGAAAGCATCGTATACAGTGGCTTTGTTCAAAACAGGTGGTTGGTAACAGTTAGTTTAGTTTATTTAACAGCTTAGGCAACTAGGACAAGGATAGAAATGCCAAAGCTTAATATGGAAATTAGAATCTATACAGAAAAATGATAATTATAGAGCCAAGTATTATAAAATAGGTTTCACTCAGACGCCTTTCAAAATTCTGTGTTTCATACGGTTCAGTTTTTTAATAATATGGAAGAACTTGTGAGTGACAATTGACTACTCTTTACACAGCACCCCTTTTCTCATTTGTGTTTAACTAGCATAATGGGTATTTGAGGAGCCTTATTGTAAGTTAGATGTGGTCAAACATGAATGTTCTGTGATAACTCTATATAATTTGAAAGATTCAATATAAGGCCCACTTGCTTGAAAACCAGTCCTATTTTTCAGTTTTACAATTACATTCTTTCCAATCTTTGCAAGGTATTATTTTGCAAACTGCATAAGCTATAATAGAGGTGTTTAAACTGATACTCTTCCATTGTTATTAAATTTGTTTGGAGCGACTTCAAATGAAGGTTAGATTGTTATTGGTATTCTTGGAAAGTCCCTCTTCTAAATCCCTACACGTGCCAACATTCCTACTCATGAGAATAGAGGGTGGCCTCTTTGTCACTGGAAATAACTCAGATGGGAAAATTTGTATGTCATACAACTTCCAGAATGTTTGTTTTCCTGACAAATCTCTTCATGAGTTTTCAGGAACTCTTAGAATATTGTCAAAATCATTCTAGCTCTAAGCAAACAAAGATGGCAAATTGGTTATGATTTGGCTAGCTTGTCATTTTTGTATTCTCTGTGGCCAGACAGCCACCTACTTCCCTCTGTCCAGTCACTCGTCTCATTTTTCCCTATTTGGTTTTACCCCACTCTTGCTTTAATTTGCCTCAAATTGATCACTATGATTAAAATATGTCGTGTATTTCCAGTAAGCTTGGTAGGGTTTTTTTTTTTTCCTGTATGTGTAATTCTGTGTATTTGAATATTGATGGGGCTGCACAAAATATTCCTATTTATCACAACTTGATAGCTCTAAGCACAATTTGGAGTTGATTTTTCATACTGTTCTCAATAACCAAATAACCTCATAGACTTCCCGGTAGCATCACTAATGGGTAGTTTGTCTTCCCTGGGAATAAAAAGCTTTCCATTTTATTTTACTTTGAAGATCACTAGCCCAGCAGGTGGATCTTTGATGTTGTTTTTTCAAGGGCAGGTGATTCCCAGAGTATTTGAGGAACGTTGGATGTTTGCTATTTGGACGAGCCAGTGCAGTGGGTGACGTGAGCCTGCAGGATGGCATTGGGCCGAGGTTGAATCTACGTGGCTCTTTCTCCACGTCTCACCCGTGTCTCCTTTTCTCAGCCACCCAGTGTAAGCATGGAGCTGTGTATGATACCTGTGGCCCGGGATGTGCCAAGACCTGTGACAACTGGAATGAGATCGGTCCATGCAATAAGCCATGCATCGCAGGGTGCCACTGTCCCGCCAACCTGGTCCTTCACAAGGGAAGGTGCATCAAGCCAGTTCTTTGTCCTCAGCGGTGACCTTTGTTCTGCTCCTAAGACTTTGAAATCTGGTGTCTTTGACAGTGAAGTGGAAGAGCCAATGAAGGACTGCGGTATTTGTGTGCTGATTCTTCAAATACACACAGAGTATATATGTGTACATATATAGATATATAGATATATTCAGAAACATTTCATCATTTATATAAACTATAGGTGGATTATTATATGTATATTTTTTGCTATAAGACATGTATTATTTCTAGGATCCTAATCTGTAAGCCATTGGATACATTGTATAAATAAGCCAGGTGTTTGTAATTTAATAAGGCAGCATGCAGACATATTGGATGGCTTTAACATCACATACATTTGTCATTTCTAAGAAGTTTTCTAAGAGACCTAAATTGCCTGCCTGCATTAATTTTAGCTTTGAATCAAGACTTGCAGTTGAGTGGAAAATGTGTTTCTCTGGAGAAGGGCAGTGTTATCTAGGGGCATTTCATGCTTCCAAAGAAAGGAGTGTATGCCCTAGGGAGATGACTGGTGATTGGTGACAGGACCTAATGGTGCATGTAAAGCAAGGGATAGGTTGTTAGACTTTATTGGGTCATGGTCCAATATTATTTCCAAAACCGATTGGCTAGTTGCCAAGAAATATATATTTGTCAGTAGAGCATAACCAAAGAATTGAATGGTTTCTTGCCATCTTTGCATATTCCTTGAGTCACCTAATTATACATGTGTGTATGATGGATGTGTCCATTTATATGTCACAGTGAGATTAAAGAATGTTTGGGTGACATGTCAGTTTTATTGAGCATGAGCAGATATTTAGGGAAAGTTTTGCACAACATATGAAAGAATAGCCATTTCTCTGAATCTTAGAGCAATTTAGGATGGGCCAATATGATGAGTTGATGTAAGCCATCTATGTTTTGTGACTATTCCATGTGTAAAATGAAAATCATTAATTATTTCTAGAGAATTCCTAGCCCAGTGCTATTTGGTGACTGTCAATACGTCATGATTCTACAAAAAGAAAGCCTTTTCTGACCAGTTGATTGAATATCAGTCCAAACAAAGACTGGTCTCTGTATTTGCTCTAATTTACTGGTAGTTTACTACTGGTCATCAGATGAATTTCCTGACTTTTTTTTCAGTTGAATAAATGAAAATGTCAACAAAACAAAACCCACTAATGTTTCATTTCAAGATACTATGTTCCACAGTGTAGTCAATAAAGGGCTCAATATTTAAAACAATGCATTTTCTCTTTCAAGATGTGCTGTGTTATATTTTATAAGTAAGCTATATCAACTTCAAATTGGCCAATTTTTAACATCTTTATTTAGATATAATAGACAATAGGAAACCCCCCAATTTTTTTATGTATATATTTTCATCTTTTCTCCCCTCAGCAAGTCCCCCTTAAAATTTCTTGCAGGGCTGTTTTAGTGGTCACAAACTCCTTTAATTTTTGTTTGTCTGGGAAACTTTTTATCTCTCCTTCTAGTTTGAATGACAGCCTTGCTGGATAAAGAATTCTTGGCTGCATATTTTTCTGATTCAGCACACTGAATATATCCCACCACTCCTTTCTGGCCAGCCAAGTTTCTGTGGATAGGTCTGCTGCAAACCTGATCTGTCTTCCCTTGTATGTTAGGGACTTTTACCCTTGCTGCTTTCAGAATTCTCTCCTTGCCTGAGTATTTTGTGAATTTGACTATGATATGCCTTGTTGATGGTCGGTTTTTGTTGAATCTAATGGGGGTCCTCTGTGCTTCCTGGATTTTGATGTCTGTGTCTTTCCCCAGGTTAGAAAAGTTTTCTGCTATGATTTGCTCACATAACCCTTCTACCCCTATTTCTCTCTCTTCCTCTTCTGGGACCTCTATGATTCTGATATTGTTCCTTTTTAATGAGTCACTGATTTCTCTAATTCTTAAATCATGCTCTTTTGCCTTAATCTCCCTCTTTTTTTCTGCTTCGGTATTCTCTATAAGTTTGTCCTCTATATCGCTGATTCTCTGTTCTGCCTCGTCCATCCTTGCCACCACTGTGTCCATTCATGATTGCAGCTCAGTTCTAGCATTTTTAATTTCATTCTGGCTATTTTTTACTTCTTTTATCTCTGCAGAAAGGGATTCTAATCTATTTTCGACTCCAGCTAGTATCCTTATTATCGTGATTCTAAATTCTGGTTCAGACATCTTGCTTGCATCTGTGTTGGTTAAATCCCTGGCTGTCATTTCTTCGTGCTCTTTGTTTTGGGGTGAATTCCTTCATTTTGTCATTTTGAAGGGAGAAAAGGAATTAATGAGGTAGAAAAATTGAAATTAAAATAAATTAAAATGAAAATATTAAAATGAAAAATGAAACACACACACACACAAATCGAATAGATGATGCTAGATCCTATGTGTGTTTTGGTCTGGGTATTGAAAGTGGTTTGACAGATTAGAGAAAAAAAGTGGGGGGGGGAGGAAATCATTTGAGAATTTGAAAAAATGAACTCACTGAAGTAGACTAAAATGAGAAGATGGGGGTAAAATAGAATTTGAAAAAATATACACAAATGTAAAGCAAAGAATATAGTAGAAAAAAATAAAGAAAAATATTTTTAATAAAAATTAAAAATATGTTTTTTTCTTTTTCTGTATTTAAGAAAAAAGAAAAGAAACGAAAAAGAGAAAAAAGATAAAAAAGAAAAAAACAAGAAAAAAGAAATCGTTTCAAAATGTGAAAAAGTGAATGCACTGTAGTAGACTAAAATAAAACGATGGAAGTAAAATAGAATTTGAAAAAATTTACATAAAAGCAAAAAATATAGTAATAAAAATTAAATAAAAATATTTTTAATAGAAATTGAAAGTAAAAATGAAGTTTTTCTCTTTCTGCATTCAAGAAAAAGAAAAGAGACAAAAAGAAAAAGAAAAAAAAGGAAATTGTTTGAAAAGGTGAATACACCGTAGTAGACTAAAATAAAATGATGGAAGTAAAGTAGAATTTGAAAAAATTTACACAAAAGTAAAAAATATAGTAATAAAAATTAAAGAAAAATATTTTTAATAAAAATTGAAAATAAAAATAAATTTTTCTCTTTCTGTATTCAAGAAAAAGAATTGTAAAAAAGAAAAAGAAAAAAGAAAAGAAAGAAAGAAAATTGAATAGATGAACCTAACAGATTGAAGTAGGACT